AACTTTCTTTACAGCAGATATAAATGCATTTATATTTTATCCTCTCTTTCTAAGGTTACATCATGGCTCCCTTCTCTCCAGAGTCTACCCTTTCATCAAACCCATAAATCACAAGTTGGTTTTTTTATGTTTTCAGCAAAAAAGTTCATAAAAGGTTTCCAGTCACTAACAAATGTACTTACTGTGACCTTCTCTTTCTGAACAGCGTAGTGAGGGAAGCAGGCACCTTATGATCTCACACGTTCAACTTAGCACCTAGTGATGGTGCTTTGGTGTGCATAGCCCAGTCCTCTACATCTCCCAGTACACAGAGGATGAGGTCTCCCACTGACCAAGTTGCTTTCATGCTCCATTTGGTTGGCCAAACACAATTCTTCTCATTACATCCTCCAGAGAAGATGCAGAGCGGGTGGAGCTTTCCAGCTTCCTTGAGTTTTATTTTTCTCTCTGCAAGTGACCTTCTTCTGAAGGCAAGCAGAGATGCATGCACACAGGAGACGATCGTCCTCTTCTCATTTCTCTTACTCTAAAAAAGAGACTAGGCCATAGAAAAAGAGAATGCAGACAGCAACTTCTGCTCACTAATTTATCACCACCTCTGTCTCTCCAGGTAGGGAGAAGGTCTGTAGAAAGGGTTGGTCATAGCAAGAACCGACATTTTATTCTCCTATTTGCTTCCTCCTGGGCAACAGTGTGTAGGGATTCACCTCAGTGTACCAAATCCACCATACTATGCCATTCTGAACTTGGGTGACCACAAGAAATCAACAAGGAACAATCCTTCTCTATGCAGTCAGTCTCTCTTCTACCATAAGGACTAAGCAAGTGATAATTCCAGTATTTTCAAATGCTCAGTTACCTTGTCCTTCTGCTAGAGTAGCATCAGAACAATGTCTTAATTGCCTAAGTGGAAAGACAAGATTCAGCCATGCCACTTACAAAAAAAGGTTCAGTCCTACTTCAACTCTGCTGACAGTATCATTGTATGCATGTATGTGTAGCAGGCTAGTTTAAAGAGTGAATGGGCCACCAACAGCATTGTTCCTCAAAAGACTGCCACTCCCCTCAAAGCTCCTTGGCATTTTTTTGCTTCTGTCAATCACCCCATGCTAACCTGCAACACTATCTCCCTGTTTATCATGATCTCTCTGGGTGATGCCATCAGACCGTGCAGATGAAGATTTTGAAGAAATGAGGGTCTATTTCTTCATCTCTCCCTCTGGGTTTCTTTGGTATTTCAGGAAAGTGGAGAATTTTTCTCCCACCTGCAAAGAGCTGTTCATCTGTGTACTGAAAAGCAAAGTCAATATTTTTGTAACCAATATTATTGCTGCTTAAAATGAACTAATCAGAGCTCACAAGTCTTGTGTGGAATTATGTTTCCAATAGCAGCAGGAGAAACATAATTAAGATGTATGGCTTTTCTAAATGATAGGGGATGTCTGAATGGGTTAAACTAGTGACAGACTAATTAATGTAAATTTTTTTAAACTGTGTGCTTGTGTATATGTATATGTGTGTGTGTACATACGCACACATCCATTTAAATTAACTTCGCTGTCAAAGCATTTGCAATTACTCTGAGGGCAGATTTTGTTTTAATTTATCATTAATATAATTTTGCAAGCATCCATAGCCTGAGAGTACTTGTGTACTTTTTCCCTTAAAACTAACAAATGAGTTCTTAGCATATGTTTAAATCTACATTCTTTCTGCAACCTTATTGAAGACACTAGCATTTCTGTTTCTAACTGGCTTTTTATAAAAGTGGTGACTCCACTTTATATACTGTAGTATGAAAGGGTGTTGTCTACATTGGGGATAAATAATCTAGTTATTCGGCCTTTGTCTTAGCCGCCTTCTCTTTAAACAATGCTTTCGTTAGGCTAAGACATTTCTAAATTACTCTAATAATCCTAATCATGGATTTTAACCTTGTTTTTACAGGTGACCTGTAACTGTTTCAGCATAAGCAACGGAGAAATGCAGGATGTTGGTGTTGGACTTTATCCCAGGTACAGTGGACAAGCACTACCTTTGTGGATCTAGTTGTATCAATCTTTCTGTGTCACACACACACACACACACACACACACTCCAACCCAGCAGCTGAAATGTCAGGTTCTACAATACATTAAGGAATCCAACAAACGTAAAACTGGACGCACGGCACTGTATTCCGTGAATTCATAGCATGCAGTGGAAATGGGCCATGATCATTCTGAGGGTGGAACCAGATTCAGTATGTAAAGTGCAGCAGGGATTGCATGAAAGAAGCGTGTAGATCCTGCGCACAAGAGTGGGTGAGACCAAGATAGAAAATGACCACTAGAGCAAAACTGTAATTGGTCAAGCCTCTGAAAACACCGACCTTCATTTTGTTCCTGCCACCTCAGATTATTAGGGTTTTATACTACAATCCATCTGTTCCTACAGTGAATGAGAAAATTGCTTTTCACCAGAGGCTGTCACAGACTGCCCTTGAATGGCACAATTGGGTTGTAGTCTGAAAAGGTACAGCCAGGGCAAAAGCTGTACTTTAAATGGAATCATATTAATTACAATTAATAAAATTACTCCCCACATGTTTAATATTTTCTTCCTTTATATTAAAAATGACAAATTGGTGGCAAATTTTGGAAAGGCCTTGTTTTGGTGCTCCCAATTATATACATTTTTGTTCAATTTTGACTTTCCCATTCAATTGTCTCTTTCCTTCTGCAGTATTAAAAACATATGTTTCCCAATGCTTGGCTGCATTCTACAGATTTTCAGGAAATGTGGCTGCGGTTCATTCAGCAGGTTACTGAGAGTCATAAAGAACTCTGGATGAAGAACCCAGCCTCTCTACTCATGCTGCACTGAGCTTCTGTTCACAGAGAACAAGAAGAGTCCAACAGCAGCTGTTTCCTTCTGTCATGCTCCCATAATATTAGTGGCGGCAGCAGCTTTCTCAGCCTTTTGGAAAGACTTCAGTATAGGCTAAAGTAGCCTGAACCAGAAAGAATTGCAGACATGGGTCTATGGAATGAAACTAGGGATGGAAGCAGCAGCAATGGAAGGAAGGATCCACACATGTGGAGAAAGAAAAAGAGCTCAAAAAGAACTAGCTGGCAATGAAGAGATTGTCCGGAGGAATCACTCTAATGAATGAAAATTGAACACCTCCCTCCTACCTTGAATTCTCCAAGTCATATTCTGGCCCATGAAATCCTAGAAATTGTAATGTTGGGTCTCCTGAAATGCATTTTTCCCAGGATCTCTAGCAATTAGTATGCTGCTGAGTGACCTTTCTCTGGATTTCCCCCAAATTGCTGCCAATAGTTGAAAATGAATGGGACAGCAAAGAAAAATACAACTCTATTTTTGGTTTTGAATGGAGGTAGTAAAACCTCAATGATCTTCCGATGATATCAGAGACAATGGCAAAAATTAAATTTTTGAATTGCACTCAGAGAGAAAAAAAAAAACCTGTTCTCTTATTCACTGTTTTTTTCTCAGGCATTTTAGAGTTGAGATCCAGATTTTAAAGATAAGGTCAATATCCTCTATGGAACAGCTAGTTTTATCATTCCTGTGTTGATTGCTTTGTTAGATTTATTTGTACTGTTACTCTTTTTAGATAAGCTGCTCAGAGAATCTTTGTTACTGGATTAAAATGTAATTAATACATAAGTAACATTTTTGCATGATAAAAATGCCTTCGTTTGCCAAGCCAGATTCTAAATACTAATTCCATAGCATTATAAAAACTGAGTGAAATTGTGAGATAAGGTACCATAGGAGAGGCATCCACAGAATTGAAGGCTTTTGTCAAAATGACACAAGCACCACCTCTTTAGTACATGTGTGCCAATCACAGTGCACCTACAAAAGGGATGGAGCTTGTACTGCAATGGTGTGACACTGCTTTCATCTTTTGCCTCCATTTGCCTCTCTCCCCAACAGACACCTCTAGCAGGGAGGCTTAATTCTCACAAACAATAGATAAGGTGGTAACCTTGTATTTGGACTATACTCCTCCAGACTGATTGGATGTTGTTTGATGCTACGATAAAACAGTACTGTAGTTCTGGATTATGGAAAAGCAGTGCCATAGTTTAAAAAAACTTTGGTTTAAAAAAACTTGCTTCCTTCCTGTGTCTCACTGTTACCTGATCAACATGTTATTGTTCAACAATAAAGAAGGAAGGGCCATGAGTGATAGAGTGCATCTTTGTATGCTAAAATAGCTTTCACTCTGAGATTCTGCAGGTGGATGTGGTGGCTGAAAATGATGGTGGTCCTGTTCACCATTGTTATCCTGTTCATACCAGATGGAGGAAGGCTACCCTTCAGTCAATTTACTGCTTGCTTGGCAGGACAGATGGAGACTCAGCAGTCTTATGTCCATTGTTCCATGGTCAGATCAAAGGTGCTGCAAGGGAGAAGCAACTTCTATGGAGACCTCTGTGCTATTTTAAGCATGCAAGGCATTTTTGTAGTGAAAAGGGGCAAGCCAAAAGCACTGGTCACCTTGTACATTTTCAGAAGTACAGATGTTGTTCTGGAGAAGGATGAATGCTGTCTTAATTCCATTTCTTCTACAGTTTACCATGCCACTACTAAGAGTGAAAAATCCAGATCTGCTTCTAGAAGATTTGTGGCAAAATTCTTCAGTGCCCTGATGACAAGGGAAAGATCTGTTCCTGAGGCTTCAGTGAGATGCTACTAGTTAGTGTTACTATGAGATCTAGTACTGACAAGGTCAGAAACAAATAGCTTGAAACCAGAGTAGGCCATTACCATAACAAAGACAGGGATAATCCAGAAGCAAAAGACCATTGAATCCCATAGAAGGGAGAAAAAAATGCAATGATTAAGCCTCTAATTCACTATCAACAGGGCTTGCATTTTATGCCATGGGCTCATTGGAATTCTTTCTCAACAGCTTCTATATTTTATGTGAAAATTTTATTTATTAGAGACCTGCATATAAAGAATTCTTTATATCCAGGTCTCTAAAATTATTAGTCACCCAGAATCACTAGCTTGAGATGGGCAGCCTTATAAATCGATAAATCTTTGAGTGCCTGCCTATGCAACTTCTAGTGTCAGCCTGAGAGGTACTAAGCTAGATGGATCAGTAGAATAAAGATTTTCCTGTATTTCTGTTTCTTATCTGGATGTTGTTTTTCTTCATTAGCATGTCCTTGCTGAACAACAGTTGTGATCCTAATTGTGTGGTCATCTTCGAGGGTCCCCAACTCCACCTTCGGTCCATCCAGGAAATTCAGCTGGGAGAAGAGGTAATTAATTTGTTCCTTCTTCCGTCCCAGAAATCTGCAGCTTGAATACCTTGATGATATATTGATGTTATTTCTATTTTGTAGCTTTCAGGAAGAAGATAACAAAAGAAATCTTTTCTTCAAATAGTATGGGTCCCCTAATCATTACAGTGCCACTCATAAGTCACTGGCAGATTTGTTGAATTTTTCTCTCTCTGTTTCTCCTCTAAGCACTTCATTTTGTTTGCATTTGATTACCTTTTCCTGGTTGAAACAAAACCAAAGAAAAACTACATATGGCTGGAATGCAACATGCAGTAAATCACTGCAACTATAAGCATTTGTCAGACTAAAGCCATGCTGAAGCAGTAAACCTTTCCTGCAAGGAATATAACAAGGCAAAGGTTGCTCTCTTGTACGTTTTATTAAAAAAGAACCACCCTTCTGAAATGATTTGTGTTCCTGTCAGAAAAATGTTTCACACCATTTTCTTTTTCTCTTTTTAAAATGGGCCGATCCAGCAATCTGAAAATTATGAACAAAGTAGAATATGGCGTTACGTTCACAATGAAATGAACATGCTGTTTCTTTTTCTTACTACCTCATTCAGCACCTTTCTCTGAATATATAGACACAGCTAGGGAAAAAAAGAGACCGAAACAGCTGTATAACCACACCAAGAAAAAACTTAATACAGCTGATGTATTGGACCCCTGTTTATTCTCCTACATTTTTTTTAGTTCCTTTATCAAAAACTCCACATTATAGAACTTCATTCGAAGAAATCAGTCTTTTGTTTGGCTTCTTGGATTTTCTTTAATAAAGGAACCATCCAAAACATGTAGGAGAATAAATAGATGCCCAATACAACAGCTGTTTTGACTTTTGCATTTATTTTAGTTGCAGTTTTAATGGGCAGTTTTTGTTACTCTTGCTTAAATTGCATCTGAATCCCGCACTTTTTTTCTGCTTGTGTTCTCACGGTCTATAATATTTGTTTGCAAGAACTGACACACTGCTGCTATTATAGAAACAATACTGATGGTAAGATTAAAGTCTATTTAGGAGTAAGAAATGTAAGTGTCTTCTCAGTATACTATATACCTCACTAAAAATACTTTAATATAGTATGATGAGCTGGGAAAATTGGGTGTATATAATCTCTGTTGAAATAATTAACATAAATATAACTGAAATCTTAGTTCAGCTAAAATAATCTAGATTGAAGTGGGCAATTTGCAGGTCACATCTACTGGAAAGGATGAACATTTTGGACTCTCTTTGTATTTGTAAGGGTATAGGAGTATTTAAATACCATTTCATTATTTAATTCCACCAAACCCTTAAACAAGAGCAAAGCATTTCTGGCCTCCCACTCCAGTGCCATTACAAAGTCATCATCAATGGCCCCCCAGTCAGACACAAAACACAAAGTAAAGCCACTAAAATGAAAAAGGTTGCTTTATCAACAGGCTTTTAAGCTTAGACTAAGTGATTACTTCTTTAAATAATGCTTTGCAGCACTGAATATTTAAATTCTTGCAGGGTTTTGTTTGTTTGTTTTTATTTTCAAAAGTTTTTAAATGTTTACTTGTTGAAATTATATTTTCTTTTTTCTTTTTTTTTTAACTTGTTTCAAGATTTTTTTTTCCAATATGGGAAATAGAAGAAAAATTGTTTAAATAAATAATAAAACAAAGACTTGTAAATAAATGGTTGAAGAAATATTTTGGTTGTTAATACAAGATTTCATAATATGCAAGCCATTGTCCTTATCTACATACATCCTTATCTCAGAGTATGTTTCACTGAAGTCAGTGAATTTTACTTCTGATGAAACTGTGGGGCATTCTATTGTACTGAAGGACTGAGGGTGATATACTATGTACAACTATGTACACTGTGTTACATATGTGTAGATCATATGTGATGAACTTCAACCCCCATCATCTCAAAAGTCTACCACACATGGAGGTCACCAGTTTAGAGAAGACTAGTGTTAGCAGATCTGTGTACTTTTTCTGTTTCACAGAGCACTGACAAAGTTAAATAACTGATTCAGGGATTTATACTAAAACTAAATTCCTAGAAGTCATTGTTCTGGAGCTGAAGACGAAATAGCCAACAGCAGGAAGAAAAACTCTGTTCTCATTTTGTGGTGAATCAGTAGGACTCCTTACTGTCTCTGTCTGCATCTCTCTTTCTCTCTCTCTCTCTGATGGTAACATGGTCTAATATAAGGAAAAAGGAATCAATTATAGAAGTTGGCTGTGACTGTCTGACAGTCTGTTTCTAATTAAGAGGCTCCATGAGTTTCAAATCTAATGCAAGTATTACAGAAACAATTACAACACCTTAGTCTAGCAGCAGCATTCAACTACAGTTTTTTTCTGGCTTTTTTCTATGTTCCTCTCCAATGCTAGCTTTGGAAAGAGGGGAAAGAGGCAAAGAATATAATGTAGGGACAGAAGACTGAGAAACATTGCTTACCTGCAGAACAGGATTAAACTTACAAGTAATTTTGCTGATTTTATAGTTCTATAGTTCTGTTCACTTTAGAAAGCAGCTTATCGGAATCTCTTGAAGTGCTGGACTACACTTCCCATAGTTCCAAGCCAACATAGCAAGCACATGTACAGAGTAGCAGGTAGAGGAAAACTGCATGTTAGCAGGTAGAAGAAGACTGGTATATCTTCATTTTTACCTCATACAATTCATATATAGCTATAATAATTAGATTATACGGCTTGGGTACTTCAAGCCTAACAGCAAAGAATTAAAACCTACTAAATAAAGCTTGTCATATTTCATACCTTTAAATGAGTAGTCCCTTTGAGTTATCAGAGCTGACAGCCTCATGCAAGAAGTTCAGTATCTAACCACTTTTGATTAACCCTTTTCTAACAAGAAAAGTGCTATCATTTTTTAAAAAAACATAAAACCTAATGCAGATACTGCGATCCTTATATTTTATAAAATCCAATCATACTAGCACTGCGAATAAGTTTTCAGACTCCTGATCTTTTCAGGGAACGGACCTCACGATAGAAATATTCATGAATGATGCTAGTGGTTGGTTTCCTAAATCCGTTGGGTAATAGGAAACATTGTAAACACACAATCAACAATTTTTGATTGTTGATTTAGAACAAAGTGGGCAACCTGCGATCTCAGAAGCATTTGGCCTTCAGCCTAATTAGAAAAGATCTATCTGATAATATATTCAGACCTCTGGCAAAAGTAATATATTTCTCCATCAGCAACTAACTGTATAGAGAGCGGTAAATATAAAGAGGATGCTTTAGAGACACAGAGAGAAATGAATGGCTCTGCTCATGTACCACACCCAATATGTGGCCCTGGTAGATTACTCCTCAGGGATTGCTGACAGCCCATTCTGACCTAGAGTTGCTATGATCCATAGTCACAAATCACTAGTCTTAAGTAAAGTTTCATCAAAACTTTGTAGTTGTTTTAATCCTTGCACCACACTGTTGTGAGATGCGCAGCCCTATAAATCATTTAAATCAATAAATAAATCATTAAAGAAGTAGGAAACATAAGCACGAGAGATTATTAAAAGAAAAAGTAGTTCTTCATCTCTGAGTTCTTGGATATAAAACTAAGCTGTAGTTTATCATTAGATGAATAAGACTTGGGTTTATGCACCATATTCTCCTATGATAGAACAATGAAGAGGTCACCAAAAGCTTTTTTTTTACCCACCCATAGTTTAGTGCTATGTCCAAATCCAAGGAAACAATGTTTAGTTGTCAGCTGGAAAAGATGAAGAATACATCCATTTTGCATTTGCACGTGCCAAACTTATAGAAAAATTGGAATATACACACACTCTAAAATTTGCATTTTTCAGAATTCTACAATGTCATTCATAACTAAATGTCCACAAACTTTGTTAACCTTTATCACAGTTTGAGGTTAAACATGACAGACAGAATATTTGAACCATCCTTTACTTTCCCGGTTCTAATTAGACATTTGTCCCACTGAATGCTTGATTTTTTTTTTGTATGTTCTGGAAGTCACCTTTGGGCCTCTCAGTTGAATTCCAGCAATTCTTCCTGACTCTATAGTGTTCACTGGAAATTTGCTTGAATATAGAACTATCCATTATGTCTCAATCAGTTGATGTATGGTTTAAAGTAATTACGTATTTTCTAATGTAACGTTGAAAAAAATTGTTCTGCTTTCCCTCTTAGGTGATTACACAATATTTTAACCTTGGAATTCTTTTTGCTATTCCCACGGCTGCACAAGTATTATGTACATTCTTGGTCAACATCTAAGTCTTTCCTGGTCTTTGTCACACGCAGCTCACCATCAGCTACTCTGAAACTGTAATGCCCACTCCTGAACGTCAGCAGAATCTGAAGCGCCAGTACTGTTTTGAATGTGACTGCTTCATGTGCTGCACGCAAAGCAAGGTGAGTCAGCTAAATTCGTCTTCAGACCAGGTACTATGGGTCAACACTTGTGCTGAGAATAGACATATGCTGAATTAAACAATAAAAGGAACAAAATAGTCAGAATTTAAAATGTGCATTCTAAGGATTCTTTTATTCCATCACCTTTTCGGAGTTGTATGGTAATTTTATTACATTTTGGATCCAGAGCTCTTTATTCCTGTCCTTTCTTTTCCAAGTTTTGTGCTCTTATTATTTGCTTCTGGTTTTTTTACGGTCTTTGAACAAACAGGGTTTTTTTCCCTTAAGAAACACCCATGTGGATGGAAGAAAAGAAAAAGCCAAAGACTCGGCTTGCTTTCTCATAAAAATACAGATGCCAGAATCCAGAAGGGGTACTTAATCTATAAAGCACTTTTGTATTTGCTTGCATGCATATTCTTTTTCCTTCCAACAGTAGCCACCCATGCATATTTAGAATACTGTTTATTTATATTTTGTTATGCGCTGTCTCATATTCTGAGAGGCTTACATCCTAAAATTGGTTTAAGTGAGTTTATTTGTATAATTTATTCAAGAATTCATGAATTGGTTAATATTGTTATTTTACAGCTGCATCGTACTGACCCCATTGTTGTTTGTAATTGTTTCTATTGTCTGTGTTTGGAATGGTTACATTACTCATCCATTTGATACGTTGAAAGATAGTTAGGGTATAATTTCATGGAATAGCCACAGATGATTATGATGGTTTTGGTGATGATGATGACGACGACATCAATTCATGGATTGTTGCTCCAGAAAGTCCTTCCATTTACTTGAGAAAGAGAAATGAAATCATGAGTTGAAAAAAATCTATGTGTATATTTATAACTTTAAATCCTTGAATTGTTTCTCAGTTATTGGAAGATATTTGCAGTTACATAATAATCCCACGGTCATATTAAATCAAAATGGAAAAAGTCAATATTTAAGGAGTATGGTACAGTATTATTGACATATGCAAATACATTTTAAAAAGATGAATTAGGTACCTTACTACTGACTGTGTAAAATTTATAGAGTACTGCATTTTCTCTGAAATTATTCTTAGTTCTGTGCAGTGGACAAATCTCCCACTTTTGACACATTAGGTGTCCTGTTTATATCTCCAAACTAATAATCAGCAGTCTATCTAAATCAAAAGCAAGTGGTCAAAAGCCAGGAAAGCAATCATGTCTGATCTTCAGGCTAAGAGATTATAGAACTAATACTTGGTGATCTGAAAGGCCAAGCCAGAAAATTCTCATGTGACAAGATATAAAAATGCACAGTAGGGTTCACACTGCCCAGCTTAATAAAGACAGTTCTTGTTTCTAGCTCTTGAAAATTTTAAGAGTGAGTGCTTAGATGCTAACATTCAGTGTTTCCTTTACTGGCCTAAGGTTTAATTTACAGTACTATGGCAGAGTCCCTAGTCTTATCAAATCTTTGTTTCAAGCATCCTCAAACTTTCATCTCATAGTTTTCAGTTTCATATGTCTTTTTTGTGTTAAGAAAATGACAAAGAATAGGAGATTCCTATTGTATCGCCTGTAACCTTTCTGGGCCCAGATTCCTCTCTGCCTGAAAGCTGTAGCCTGGAAAGGCTTTCTGGACTTTCTTCGTCTCTTGCTCTTCTTCAGATGAGGAGCTGCCAAAAATACCTAATGTGTTTTTTAAAAAAAATGTTTTTCTAATTGCCACTATGGAAGCTTCTAGCCAAATGTCTCCAGCTGTTACCGGTACAAGAGCTGTGTGCGCCTATTGTGTTTTTCCTTCCTTTAACAGAATTTCCGGTAAGAAAATTGTCACAGAGTTAGTAGAAAATTCAGGGGGGCTACATGTAGAAATTAGTGTCTAGATTCCCATAATTGCTGGACCAACACACAGTACAAATCTTGGAGGGAAGCACTGCAAATTGCACCGAAAATGGAACAGAGAACGATTCTGAGAGATGATGGATATGGACTATAGAGTCTCGCCTAGGCTCTAAAAAGCATATAAGAAGGGCTAATTCTGAAGAAAATTTTGACAGTGTTAGTGATTATTCTGTTGAATTTTAGGGATCACTATTTCTTATCCCCACTTGATCAGATAAAGAAAGTTGAAAAGCCGTTCCCTGAAGTTACTCATATTACACTTATTAACGCAAGGTACATTTTCTTCTAATGAAAAGTAAACAGTCTTCTAATTTATCTTGCAGACTCATTTCCCCATGTGTATCTTCTCTTTCTACAAAAGAAAATTAAACTTGTCTGGAGATAAACTATCTTGGATCTATTACAACTACAAAATGTTTTGCAAACTTTGGTAATACTGATTTATCTATTATTAGGAGGCATAGGTTCAGTTCCATTATTGCTCAGAATTCAGACAAGTTTAACCTCAAGTAATATCTACTTTTCTTTAGTAATTACGGATCCCCTTTATTAATCTGCCTGAAAATATTTCTGTAATGTGCATCATGAATCAACTTGATATACATACATACATAAATACATGCATACCCATCATGCTATTCCATTTTGGGGTAGGCAACATTAAACAAAGTTCAGAGAAAGAATAAGAAGTTGTAAACAAAGTAAATCAAAAGCAGGAGAAAAGGAAAGGAAATCTAACTAAATGTGGTTTTCACCAGCCCCATTCATGATACCTCATTATTCTTTCAGTCCCTGCTTCCACTTTGTCCATGTACTGATTCATGCAGTCCCTTTTGTTCAAACTGCTTACTTCTCTCTTTCTGAGGATCTCATCAATCCAATCTAACTCAACTTTCTTGAACTTTCCTTCATTTCTACCTACTCATTTTTCTTCCTTCACTTTTATTCTTCAATAAAATCATTTCTATGTATTTTTGTATTGGTCACTCACTTTATATTCCATCCACATTCATTAATCATCCATTTATTCTTGTCTTATCACAACAGACCTGTAGTGTTGAACCGTTTGCTAAACATTTCATTTATTGTCACCCGTGCTTTGTTTCCTTCATATATCATTTTTAATTGTTCAGCAACAAACCTTCAATTCTGTATTTGTGGAAAATGTTCCATAATTCAAGACTACTCACTCTAACATGTGTTTTTTCTAAATTAACAAATATACAATAAACATTCTTTCTTGCATTCATTAATTTCTCAAGGACACTACAATTCCCACACAAATATCTAATTTATCTAATATTCCTTTACTTTAGTTTAATCCTAAAGCATTGTATCACTGTTATTCCATTCACTCTGCTGGAGGTTCCTTGTTTATCCTCTTTCATCCGCTTCCATTTTTTTTTATCTTCATCAAAATCATTCTGCATTTCCTCTGCCTCTTTTAATTTTCCTTACTATTTTTTATTATACTCTTTCAGTTTTTTCTCCATGCAGCTTCTTTCTTACATCCTCATTTTTATAGAAACCATTCTCTTACATACATTTTTTCTCAATGGCTTTCCTAACATCATTCCTCCAAGCATTCTTTTTGTACTTCTGGTTAGTGTAACTCTACACACTCCTATGATATTTTCTAACTTATTCTTTTCACTCTGTTCTAAAGAGCTTTCATATCATTCCTTTCACCAACTTTCTATTCAATCTATTTTGAGATTAAATGAAATCAGTTATGGTTTCGGATTTATTAATTTGTCATGTATACGCCTGAATAGTCTTATCCTTAGACCACATATTCAAAATAGTCAGACTTCGTTGTAAACAAATATTCTTGAAATAAACACCATTCTCATTCATTCTTCAGACTCCAAATAGCCCAATTATTTTTTTCTCTGTTATTCTCAACTTGTTCCTACCCATCCTTTCCTGTCACCTAATAGACTTTTTTCTTTGGAATATATTTATTCAGAATGTTTCACTTTTTTTCCAAAACTCATCCCTGGTTCTTTCATTGTCACTAATCACTGGAGTATAACATGTAACTATCATCATGGATTCCTTTTTTCATATGCACCCAGAAGAGGCACAAACCATGAGTACTAGCACTACCTTTATTGTAAGGTTACAGTAACAGAATCTTCTCCCCTCCCTTACTTTTACTTGCCAGAAAACTAAGGAGGATCTCTTCTGGGATGCATCCCACATCCCCTTTCCTTCTGTGGGCTGAGATATCTTTTACATGATGGCCATCTAGGCTGTGGCTCTTCCTCCTGTCTCCCAAAGTCATTCTGACAACCCATTACAAGATGATACCAATTCATACTTTCTGAATGTTAGCTCTTTCATTCAGATGCTGCATGGAATCTGATCTTATGGGCAATATAAAAATACTGTACGTAAGTAGCCTACACCTTCACTTCCCTGTATTTCTCAACTCCGTTGAATGAATCAGATTATCTTCATTCAGATCTATTACAACCTTCCCCTTTATCTCAGTTCTACAAGCCCACAAAATATCTATTTTTCTTTATTTCATTCATTAGTTCCTCTTACATTCTAAGTCACAGTTTTCCATACACCATGATCCTCAACAGATGAATATTGACCCCACTACATATCATGGCTTTGATCAACTGAGTTTTCACATAAGATAAAGGATGTGTAAACTAAGTCATCGCTCTTAGTCATTCCCATGCTACACTACTAGCAGCATTCAGTAGTTATCAATTTGGGCACATTTTGGATAATATGCCAAAAGTTCAACCAAATTCCAGTTTTATCTCGAGTATAGTTTTGCTATTCTATACTTTCTAAGATTTCTAACCTCAAGACTACCCTGCAAAGAAACATACTGTTACCCACATCCCACCAGCTAGAATATAAATGCAGTGTATTGTACACTAAACATACTGACAAAATACCAGACTTCTGGTGAAATTCTATATCATATGTTTTTTCCCAGTCAAATTCTCTTGATAGTCCTTGATTATCTCTTTTGGTCATGTCTAAGTCTCCTGTGCTTACCTGTTGTATGCCCTCTGTGGGCAAGTACAGAGTGTCATTAAAACATTTAAAACAATTTCTTCCTACAAAATAGTGCTCCATGGACCATGGATTTCA